GACTAATTTGGGGCAAATTGATAAACAATAAGATCAAATCGGGAGTCCGTACAATAGTTTAGGGACCCAATCAGGGATTTTTTTAGTTCAGAAACCAAATCGAGAGTTTGTACAATAGTTCAGGGACCAAACTGGGGATTTAACCTTAATAATTTGTTATAGCAGAAGATTAAGTAATATGTCACTATAACGTACACATCACAGCAACATTGGCTGGACAAATTTGTGAAGATTAATCAAGTCAAGATTAAGAAATCTTTAAAAATGTGTGGCTATATGCATAACACAAGATGGAATCTTTTACTTATGTTTCGTCCAACAAGATGACTTAAGCTAGAAAAGCCATCCGATAAAAAGGACTTCATGACATATCGAGACTAGAGTAGTGCATACATATACGACGGAAAGGAAACAATGCTACCACACGGAATTTGCAAAGATTACTAATGGGAGAAGTTTCTTGACAAAATTCTCACAACTTGATGTATGTCCTCTAGCACAACTCATTGTTAACTTTTATTGATCCATTTGATATAACATTCTGATAATTTATAAGCCCATCTCTGCAGTTAATAATAGGTTAAATCCCCAATTTGGTTCCTGAACTATTGTACGGACCCCTGATTTGGTCCCTGAACTTAAAAAATCCCTAATTTGGTTCCTGAACTATTGTACGAATCCCCGATTTGGTCATTACTGTTTACCAATTTGCACCAATTTGGCAATTCTATACAAAAACAACTTACGTGTCTCGTTATTAATGTGACACGTGCCCGTTAAGTTACTGTTTTATGCCGTTAAGTTACTGTTTTTTGTCGTTAAACACTACACATGTCAGCTTTTTTTTGTATAGAAGGACTAATTTGGGGCAAATTCGTAAACAGTAAGGACCAAATCAGGGGGTCCATACAATAATTCAGGGACCCAATCAGGGACCAAATCGGGAGTTTGTACAATAGTTCAGGGATCAAATTGGGGATTTAACCTTAATAATTTGTTATACCAAAAGATTAAGTAATATGTCACTATAACGTACACATCACAGCAACATTGGTTGGACAATTTTGTGAAGATTAATCAAGTCAAGATTAAGAAATCTTTAAAAATGTGTGGCTATATGCATAACACAAGATGGAATCTTTTACTTATGTTTCGTCCCACAAGATGACTTAAGCTAGAAAAGCCATTCGATAAAAAGGACTTCATGACATGTCTGAGACTAGAGTAGTGCATACATATACGATGGAAAGGAAACATTGCTACCACACGAAATTTGCAAAGATTACTAATGGCAGAAGTTTCTTAACAAAATTCTCACAACTTGATGTATGTCCGCTAACACAACTCATTGTTAACTTTTATTGATCCATTTGATATAACATTTTGATAATTTATAAGCCCATCTCTGCAGTTAATAATAGGTTAAATCCCCAATTTGGTTCCTGAACTATTGTACGGACCCTTGATTTGGTTCCTGAACTATTGCACGGACCCCTAATTTGGTCCCTTAACTATTGTACGAACCCCTGATTTGGTTCCTGAACTATTGCACGGACCCCTAATTTGGTCCCTTAACTATTGTACGGACCCCTGATTTGGTCCCTGAACTAAAAAATCCCTAATTTGGTCCCTGAACTATTGTATGGATCCCCAATTTAGTCCTTACTTATTACCAATTTACACCAAGTTGGTCATTCTATACAAAAACAGTTGACGTGTCTCGTTATTAATGTGACACGTGTCCGTTAAGTTACTGTTTTCTGCTATTAAGTTACTGTTTTTTGTCGTTAAATACCAGACATGTTAGCTTTTTTTTGTACAGAAAGACTAATTTGGGGCAAATTGATAAACAGTAAGATCAAATCAAAGGTCCGTACAATAGTTTAGGGACCCAATCAGGGATTTTTTTTTAGTTCATGAACCAATCGAGAGTCTGTACAATAGTTCAGGGACCAAATTGAGGATTTAACCTTAATAATTTGTTATACCAAAAGATTAAGTAATATGTCACTATAACGTACACATCACAACAACATTGGCTGGACAAATTTGTGAAGATTAATCAAGTCAAGATTAAGAAATCTTTAAATATGTGTGGCTATATGCATAACACAAGATGGAATCTTTTACTTATGTTTCGTCCCACAAGATGACTTAAGCTAGAAAAGCCTTCCGATAAAAAAGACTTCATGACATGTCGAGACTGGAGTAGTGCATACATATACGATGAAAAGGAAACAATGCTACCACACGGAATTTGCAAAGATTACTAATGGGAGAAGTTTCTTGACAAAATTCTCACAACTTGATGTATGTCCACTAGCACAACTCATTGTTAACTTTTATTGATCCATTTGATATAACATTTTGATAATTTATAAGCCCATCTCTGCAGTTAATAATATGTTAAATCCCCAATATGGTTCCTGAACTATTGTACGGACCTCTGATTTGGTTCTTGAACTATTGTACGGACCCATGATTTGGTCCCTGAACTATTGAACGGACCCTTGATTTGGTTCCAGAACTAAAAAAAATCCCTAATTTGGTCCCTGAACTATTGTACAGATCCCCAATTTGGTCCTTACTGTTTACCAAGTTAGTCATTCTATACAAAAATAACTGACTTGTCTCGTTATTAATGTGACACGTGACTGTTAAGTTACTGTTTTCTACCGTTAAGTTACTGTTTTTTGTCATTAAATACTAGACATGGCAACTTTTTTCTGTATAGAAGGACTAATTTGGGGCAAATTAGTAAACAGTAAGGATCAAATCGGGGGTCCATACAATAATTCAGGGACCCAATCAGGGATTTTTTTTAGTTTAAGGATCAAATCGGGGGTTTGTATAATAATTTAAGGACCAAATTGAAGATTTAACCTTAATAATTTGTTATAGCAGAAGATTAGGTAATATGTCACTATAATGTACACATCACAGCAACATTGGTTGGACAAATTTGCGAAGATTAATCAAGTCATGATTAAGAAATCTTTAAAAATGTGTGGCTATATGCGTAATACAAGATGGAATCTTTTACTTATGTTTCGTCCCACAAGATGACTTAAGCTAGAAAAGCCATCCGATAAAAAGAACTTCATGACATGTCGAGATTGGAGTAGTGCATACATATACGACGGAAAGGCAACAATGCTACCACACGAAATTTGCAAAGATTACTAATGGCAGAAGTTTCTTGACAAAATTCTCACAACTTGATGTATGTCCGCTAGCACAACTCATTGTTAACTTTGATCTTTTCATTATCATTTTTAACTTTAGCCAAACCCCTTATTTGTTCCCTAGAAATTTTTTCTTTTTATGCTCAACATTTTAAATTAATTTTTTTCCTATCAATACCATCTAGATGTGTTTTTAACGAGTGTATTAGTCATTTCAAATCATATAATGATAAGAAAAATGTCAAACCCACAATGATTGTGATTAATTAAGTATAAAAAATAATTAATTTAGATTTATTTGAATAATCAAAAAAGAAGAAACTTTAATTAAAAAAAATTAAAACAAAGGTAACTAAGATTCAAAGTATTAAAGTATTAAAGTATCGATTTCATCATAGCCAATTAATATGAAATGTATGGGTGAGTACCCCTTGTACTCTCTTTTTTAATAAAATATTTTGATTCATAAAAAAAAAAAATTCTATTGTTGCTGAAATGAAACCATCATTTATAAAAAAGAATACCTCTCGACTGCCCTTCCTCTATAACCATGATTATTGATCTATTTGATATAACATTCTGATAATTTATAAGCAATAAGTCTAACTGACATTGACATTGAAAGGAGACTAGTCACTCTAACGCACTCAGCTCGGCTACAACGAGTGAATAAATTTGCAAAGAATATCCAAGTCAAGATAAAGAAATTTGTAAGAATTACTTACTTAAAACAAATAGATATTCTAAACCGGTAACAATGGCTCAAGATCAAATTTGCAAAGACTACTCAAGTTAAGATTAAGAAATTCATAAGAACTACTTCATTGTGAGCTGATTCACTTCATTCAAACTTAAATCCCTGAACCCAGTAGTGAACACGTAAACATTTGCGCTTCAAAATACAAATACCAGTACTTTCCCCATGGTTGCAACTTGCACAAACCTGAGTACATTAAAAAAGGTTGTTAGGCAAATGATGAGTTTTAACTTGGGTCGTTTCAGTTGGTATCAAAGAAGTTCCCCTTCATAGGTGTGAGACTATGCTAGAAGACTTTAATATGAGTCGTTGAAGGAGTTCCCCTTGGTCCTCAAAGAGTTTGGAGTGGACAATAATGGCATGGTTGGGCTTCGGCCTTTGGAATCTCACATTGCTTAGGGATCATTTCAACTATCTAAGTTTTACCTCATGAAATGTTAACTTTAGAAGTGAAATGGGTGAAATGGGTTATTTAAGCCATTATTTTCTCAATGTTGTTGGCCTAGATGATGACAACCCAAGAGGGGCCGATATTGGGTTTTCGAAAAACTTATTAGGCAAATTTTGAAGTCAAATCAACAAGCAAGTACAAACTTTGCAAACAATTGAATCTTATTAAAATAAATTGCAAAAACTAGAAGTTAAGGAAGAGAAAGTTCAAGCACAAAAATTTATAATTATTCGGACCTAACTTATGCTTAATCCACTTTTCATGCCATCTTTTTTAAGAGTTTGCTTCAAAATAAAAGCCTCTCCTTCCACTCCTTCCACTGTAAGAAGATTCAGTCATCATCATCCTCTTAATTGACTCTTAATGCTCTAAATGATTTTCTTAATTCTTTCCTTCATTTCATTGATTTGTACGTGTACCAGTACCATGTACAGAGTTCTGAATAACAAGTCAGCAATCTCTCTTCAAACATTTCTGCATTTTCATTATTAATTTGTAACAATTTATTCGATCAAAGTTAATTCAAACACAATATATCTTAAAATGAATTCTTATAATAAATACACAGCATCAAGTGGATAAATATAGATTCATGAATTCTACAAAATAAAAAGAGTTAATCATAATTACCATCATTGTCACTTAAGATTATAAAATTTCATTGTAGGTAGATATTGTGCGCACCATTTTACTATTTTTTTTTTAAGAAATCATTTTCCTTATTTAATTTAATTGGAAACCAATTAGGGTAAGCCTTTTTTTTTTTTTTTGGTATATATACAGTTAATTGTGGTCGGATTTGAAATTCTAATCTTAACCCAAAATCAAGGTTTTAAACTTAGTACAAACCAATTCGATAAGACTCTTATTAGTATTAGGTAAGGCTCAAATGGTGAGGAGTGAAGTCACCATGTTGAAATAAAGGTTTGAATTTATCCTTTCCCATTTGGGTACAAACAATTCTAAGGAGCCTTATCATGTGAATGCATACATACGACAGCAAGACATAAGCCCCTACACTTTAACAAGAAGACTTCGAGCGAGGATCACCATTACGTGCTGAACCCGGCAACATTGATTGGAAAAATTTAAAAAGACTATTCAAGTGAGATTAAGAAAGGAAAATGATTTAGACACTCTTTGACTCGAGACACATGCCAACACTCAGATGACTTAACCATTAAAATATAATATAGATGCAGCTGATTCAACTAGTTCTTTTATGCTCTATATATGAATGCATTTTTAAGTTTTTCCCCTCTTAATTTTATATAAGAAAATAATAATTTGTTAATAAGTGTGTTGTAAAGTATGTTATAGTGAAAGGTGTCTATATTAACGTCTAAGAAATTTGTAACAACTACCAGTGAGAACCTTAAATTGGGTTACAAATATCTTTAACTTTAGAAGTGAAATAGGTTATTTAAGCAATCATTTCTAATTGGTGTCCTTTCTCCTCATCTTTTTTCCTTTCTGTTTCCTCTGTCTAGTGTTATTGACCCATTTGATTTTCCATACTGATCACCAGTTGTTGGTCCCGTTTCTGCATTTAATAATTTGCTTGTTATAGCAGAAGATTAAGTTATAATGTCACTACAACGTACTCATACCGGCCAGCAACATTAGCTGTACCAATTTGCAAAGACTATTCAAGTCAAGACTAAGAAATCTGTCAGAATGTGTGGCTGTAAGCATAATGCTTCATAAATGTGTTCAGTCCTACAAAAAGACTAGTGTTATTGACCCATTTGATTTTCCATGCTGATTACCAGTTGTTGGTTCCGTTTCTGCATTTAATAATTAGCTTGTTATAGCAGAAGATTAAGTAATAATGTCACTATAACATACTCATACCGGCCAGCAACATTAGCTGTACCAATTTGCAAAGACTACTCAAGTCAAGACTAGGAAATCTGTAAGAAGGTGTAGCTGTAAGCAAAATACTTAACAAATGTATTCTGTCCAACAAAAAGACTTGAGCTAGAAAGGTTGATGGAACCTGAAACTGAAAGATCTAGGCAATAACTATAACTG